GCAGCAGCGCGGGCACGCGGTAGGTCAGGCCGCTCCTTTCGCTCTGGAAGAGCACAGTCCGCGTGGGGACTCGGGGGGTCCCCATGCCCTGCGGGCCCAGGGCCAGCGGGTCAGCGGTCAGGGTCCAGGCACACTCCCCTCTCTCCGTCGGATGGTGGAGAGGCTCTGTAGGTGCAGACGCGCGGAACCACGCCTCCCTGTACCCACCTCGAACCGCCCTGGTCCAGGCTCCCTGCCCACCTTTTCTTCACGGCCACTGCACCCCCAAATTGGCCCCTTCCTGCTGTCAACAGAGCCCACAGAGGGAAAGCAGGGCGCCTGGCCCGAGCCCCCTCACCCTACACGCCTGTGAGCCTGGGGCAGGTCAGCACCACCTGCCCAGGAGGCCAGCCAGGTGCACAATCAGGACCCAACCCTTTGGACAAGGAAGGGTTTACTGTCCCCAAATAGGGGCCCCACCACCTCGGGGGCCGGCCCCACAAACACAGAGAGGCACGGAAACAGATACACCATCAAAAAACACACACACAACACAAGGAGAGACTCACACACGAAACAGACACATGCAGATGCACACACATCCCCACAGATACCCACAGATACACACTTGGGAGGCAAACACACACAGTCACTTTCCACACACGGGAGGAAGGCACCCCAGCTGCTGCCACCCCTCTTCTCAGACCTGCAGGGTCGCCAGGGTCAGGAGGTTCTGGGGAGTAGCCCGGAGTGGTGGGGATCACCTGCTGACCAAGGTGGCCCCAGCAGGTCTGCAGAGAAGGGGCCTGGAGGGACATCTGTGGGGCAGGTGACCCGCCACCCTGTCCCTTGGGCTCCTGAGAGAGGCTGGGGGTCCTGGGAGGTCCAACAGAGCCATTGCCACCCACAGGGGCCCCCAATAGCTCCCACATGTGCCTCAGAGACCTAGGAATGATGTAGGCCAGAGGAGCAGTGAGAGGGACCCCACGGTGGCCAGAGAGGCCACCATCCTACGGTCCTGCCTCTGCCCCATCCCAGCAAAGAGGAGCCACAGGAGACGGGGGCGGGGTCGGGGGGGCAGCTCTAGTCTGTGCACTGAGGCCCAGTGTCTTGAACTTGAAAGCAGGAAGCAGGTGTGGGTGTCACATGTCCCTCCGGGTTGAATGGACACAGCAGGACATTCTCTCCACTTGGCTCCCTCCCCAGGGCCTGGGACCACCCGAGCTGGTATCAGCATAACAGGCAGCCCAGGCGCACGCCTGGCCTGAGGACAGAGCGGCAGAGAGGGAGCCTCCCAAGACCAGCTGGTATGTCTTCTTGCTGCACAGAGCAGAAGGCCTGCCCAGCACTTGGAGCGTCCTTGCCCCAACCAGAGCCCCAAAGTTCTGGGGAGGCCCCCATTGTAGGAGGACGTACCAGGTCTCCCAGGCAGCTGGCCCTTCCCAGTGTGGCCAGTTCAGCAGATTCTGGGGCTTTGACTTGACTAGATGGCTACATCTGAACGTTAACTGGAGCCAGAACCTTTAAGTCTGGGTGCCCATCTACCTCCACAGGGTGGCCTTTCTCGGGGGCAGCACATTGCAGAAGGGAAGCTGAGGCCCAGGGAGGCCATGGGACCTCCAAGAGAACCTGGTCCCCTGACCCTGGATCCCGGGCAAGTTGTCGGGGCTTATTCTGCCTCCAAGGGGCTTACCCTAGACCTGCCTGCAGCCGGTCCTGTCTGGGCTCGCCCTGGAGCACTGGGCCAGGGCAGGTCATCCGGCCCACACCTCCTTTCTGAGTCAGCACCTCTCTTATCCTTTGGACCTATACTGCCGGGCCGCTCACCTGCTGAAATGCCGCACAGGAAGAGCCAAGGCTCTTCGCATAGAAATCAGGCAGAGGGACCCTGGCTCTGTCACCCCTGCGGGGGCTCCAGTCTAACCTGCCTGCCCTGTGCTCTGTCCGGACAATGACTCAGTTACAAACCCCTCTGCCTGGTGGAGCAACACCCACAGGCCCAGCTGGTCCTGCGGACTGGACACCCCGTCTGCATCCATCCCATCCTCTGAATCTACCTCCAGGCCCTTCGGTGTCACACCTGCCCCTTGAGCCAGGAAACTGCCCACTGGGGATCCACCTGCCCATGGCCCTCAGCCCAAAGAGGGGCAGCCAGGGAGGATGGAAGGAGCGGGGTCCCGGCCCTGGGAGGCTGGGAAGCAGGGAAGGGACTCACCGGGCACCTCAGGGAAGCCGCACAGCGGGCTGTGGTGCGGCCACAGGACTGCCCGCCTGCCTTCGGACCCAGCGAGCTGAGTGGAGACAAGGGCCCACTGTGTGGGTGGGAGGCAGGAGGCGGGAGCTGGCCTGGTCCCAGCGCTGCGTCGGGACCCAGGACCCTCCTGCCAGCTGTGGTGCAGCAGAGCAGCCAGGGGGTGCAGAAGGGCACTCGGGGTGGGGGCCAGGGTCAGGACGGGGCCACACAGGGCTCCTCTCTTCTGGCTGACCCGCTCCACCCTGGGGTGCTGGGGACTTGGGGTTGGGGGGTCACAGTTGCCCTCAGGCCTCCTGCAGAGATGCCTCAAACTACATAACACTCCGTGACCCTTCCCTTGGCCTCCGGGATGTAACCTCTTGGGCCCTCACTGGGCTCCAGCCCATGTCTGTTGCTCGGGGGCCCGGCTCCCACCAGGCAGGCCCGCATCCCACCCCTCCTACCCCCTCCCCAGCACCAGCCACCTCCCAGGGCCCCTCCTGCCAGCTGGCCCCATTCACCCTCACCACTCCCCCACTGCTATCTCCAAGGTGGCTTCATGGATGGCCACTGCATGGGTGACCGCTGCCCAGGTGACCGCTGCCTGGGCCAGGACTCAGGGAGAGCGCTGTCAGGGTCCTGAGGGGCCAGCCTCCTCAGGGCCCCGCCCCCTCCTTTTCCTGCCCCTCCCTCCATTCGAGGGAGAAATGGGCTCCGGGAAAATTAAGACATCCTGTGATGTCCACATGGAGATGACAACCCTGCTGTGTCCCTTCAGGTCCTCAGGGCCTGAGGGGATTTACAAGGCCACAAGGTGGAGAGGAGGGGGTGGGCCACCATTCTACTTGATGGCCGCCAGCCCCTCACCACCCAGCACAGGCACGGCCCCAGGAAGACTGCCGCCCATTCTGTGAGGCTTCTGGGATGGGCACCGGTCACCTCTGCCCACTCCCGTGAGCCCAGGGCCATCCCCCACTCCCCCTAAGACAAGCACATGCCCTCTGACCGCAGGCAGCCCCTCACCTGCCCCCAAAAGGAGGTTTAGGCAGAGTTTGCTCTGAGCTCACTAGCTGCACAGGATGCCAGCATATCCGGCCTTTTGGGTGGGTGGGCTGGTCATTTCTGAGTTCTTATTACAGACCACAAGCACTTTACATGGTAATAAATACCCCAAAGTTTCCCTCCAAAACCGTTCCAGTTCATATTCCTGCCAACCCCAAAGGCACAAGCAAATGCCATGGAATTTCTATGGAGACTCAGTGGTCTCGGTTCTGTGCCGCGGAGGATGGAACGGGCAGAGGTGGAGGCTCCCCTCCCCTACCCCCATACAACACAACCTACAAGCTGCTCTGGGTTCAGAAGCAGCAGCTTTCCTCCTTATCCGGGGTTCGCACTGGCCCAGGCCAGCCCGGTTTGGGTCTTGCTTCCTTTGGGTTTTGGCGGAGCCTGCCTGATGCTCGGGGCACTGGATTTTTTCTGAGTCTTTCTCATTTGACTATTGTTTCTTATCCATGGCTCTTACTGTCCTTCTGAGCCGCCTGTCATCCCCTTGCCGTTCGTTCGTCTGGCGTCTGGTTCCCTTTCTCTGCGTCCCCGAGGGATTCCTTCTGCCTTGTCCCTGGGTGAGGGAGAGGGGCCCCAGCTCACCCTGGCTCTGTAGTGTCCTGTTCTTCACCATCTCTGTCCAGTTTTTTGGAAGTCACTTTTTCCGTTTCCAAGTGTTGTCTTTTCTTTCCATATTCGCTGCACTATGTCTTCTAATCTCACTAAAAACTCATTCTTCTTTTTATTTTTTATTTTGAGAGGACGTTCATTAAAGCTGGGGACAGTGAAACAGGAGAGGGCTTAGGGTAGAAGAAGCAGCAGGCGAGAGACTAGGCGGGGCTGCTTTGGCTCCATAGGAACTTTAGGGGGAACAAGTGAGCCAAGGCCGGCTGTCAGCTCACTGGAGAGTCAGAGACAAGGAGGCCTTGGATGCAGGTTCAGGGGTGAGCCCTGGATGAGCTGCCACTGCCCATTGCTCCCTGGCTGCAAGTCGCATGGCACCCTTAGAGGTTAGGAGGTGCATGCCTGTGGGGGGAGAAGAGGAGGAAGGATGAGGCTTGGCATGCTCCCAGGAAGAAAAGTTCACACCCGGTTCTTTGTTTTAAGGGTTTTAAAGGCTGGGAGTTTAGGAGGTCTTAGGGGGAGGATCAGGCTGGGAGTTTAGGAGTTCTTAGGGGGAGGATCTCTTTATTATTATTATTGTTATTATTATTATTATTAATTTGAGAGAGAGGAAGATAGAGAGAAAGAGAAAAAGAGAGAGAGAAACATAGATTTGTTGTTCCACTTATTTATGCCTCCATTGGTTGATTCTTGTATGTGCCCTGGCTGGGAATCGAACCCGAAACTTTGGCATATTGAGAAGACACTCTAACCAAATGAGCAACCCGGCCAGGGCATAGGAGAGGGTTTCAACAGAATATTCATCAGATTTATGGTGATGTACCAAAATGAGATTAATTTCTTTTTATTTTATTTTTTATTTCAGAGAGGAAGGGAGAGGGGGAGATAGAAACGTCAATGATGAGAGAGAATCATTGATCTGCTGCCTCCTGCACACCCCCCACTGGGAAGCGAGCCTGCAACCTGGGCATCTAACCACGACCTCCTGGTTTATAGGTCAAATGTTTAACCACTGAACCACGTTAGGCCGGGCAAATTCATATCCTTGGGTGTGGTTGGTACAAACTGTACTAACTGGATTTCTACTATCTATCTCTCTGAGGAGTCATTTAAGCTGTATTAGGAAGAAGTGTAAACTTACTCTTAGGTGTCGTTGGTTACGGACTATAGGATTTTGCGATTTACTAGCTGGCTGTAAACTGCTAGGTCATTTAAATATTTGTCTCAATTTTCCTCTTCTACTTTCCCTGGCTTACTGACCTGTCTTAACTGGACCAGGTTTTCCTAAAGAGCTGAAGTCACCTGGTGGTAGCGCCGTGTGGAGTGTCCTCCTAACAGAAGCCATGGTGCTCAGAAAGCTTGTTGTGTACCCTGCTCTGTGGGTGAAAAATCACTTTGAAAAAGTTTGCCCCTCCTGGGAGAAGGCAATGGCCACGTCTTCAGTTCCCAGTGTTCCAGGGAGCGGCTGCCTCCTGTTCTGATCGTTTCGGGGGCTCCCCTTCTTTGAAATGCTGATTCACCTGAAAAGTGTGGACACACCTACACACAGGAGTACCCGCTGCAGGTGCCCAGCCCAGCTGCCCGGCCCTCTGAGCTGGAGGCCCTGAGGGGAAAGGAAGGCCCCAGCACCGGGCAGGCAGGCCAGGCTGGGCCTCCAGGCTGAGCTGAGAGCAGCTACTCCTCCAGCGCTCCGGGCACCACGTGTTTTGAAGGGCATATGACACTGACTGTGTGCATCCCACTCTCACCGCTGGGCCCCGGGCAGCCAGGAATCATGGCCTGCCAGGCAGGGCGCCCTCAGTCCCTCCCCACGAACAACAAACAGGCTCTCTTCCGGGACTGCGTCCAACGTGAGCTCCTCCTGCAGGCGTTTTCCTCAGGGGACACTGGGCGTGGGGAGCTGTAATCCCAGGAGCCCAGCTACGAGCCTGAGGCCGAGCCCAGGGCCTCCCAACGTGGCAGCAGAGGGACGGGCATCAAACGGAGGGGCTATGCCTTCAGGAAGGGGATGTCCTTGGGGGGCTTTGCGGGGAACTGCAGGGTGTACAAGCGGGCCATGTACTGGAGCTCGGGCATGACCATCCGCTGACACATGCGCAGCGTCTCGTTGTCCAAGCCCTGCCTGAGGTTGTAGCCCAGGATGCTGGCCTCCCCGGACTGAAACGGCTGCAGCCTGCGGTCGGTGATCTGCGTCTTGTTCTTGGGCGCGCTGTCCTGCAGGCACAGGGCTTCCAGCTCACGCCGCCGCGCCCGCA